ACATGCATTGTGTTAAGGGGAAAAAAACCTTTGCAAAAATGCATATACTGGGCAAAATTGCATTAAGCTGTGTATATTAGGAGAGAAAAGTACCAAAAGGCTGATGGATTCCCTGAGAACTTTTTTTAAAAAATGCAAACGGATATGGCAATGAGTGGGACGTGGGTGGCGCTGTGGGTTAAATCACAGAGCCTAGGACTTGCCGATCAGAAGGTTGGCGGTTCGAATCCCCACGATGGGGTGAGCTCCCGTTGTTCGGTCCCAGCTCCTGCCAACCTAGCAGTTCAAAAGCATGTCAAAGTGCAAGTAGATAAATAGGTACTGCTCTGGCAGGAAGGTAAACGGCATTTCCGTGCGCTGCTCTGGTTCACCAAAAGCGGCTTAGTCATGCTGGCCACATGACCCAGAAGCTCTACGCTGGCTCCCTCGGCCAATAAAGCGAGATGAGCGCTGCAACCCCAGAGTCGGCCACGACTGGACCTAATGGTCAGGGGTCCCTTTACCTTTACCTTTTTATGGCAATGAGGAGAATCGAACCTAAGTGAGAAACTGTGAGTAACCAAAATTGACCTAGTCACCCATCCTAGTGGCACAGATTGTAACTGGAAAAAACTTGCCTGATGCAGATTGCATAGTGTGTGTGTTTTTGTTTGGAAGCTGCTTCTCACCTCTATACATATATCAGGGGAGAAAGGATACATCTCGTAATGTTTGCACTCAGTCAAGTGATAGGAGGGAGCAGGTTTGGAACCATGAACACAAACCAGGAGGCATTTAAACCAGCTAAATTTGAGGACGCGATCCAGCTGCCTGAGTCTCGGAGCAAAGGGATGCCAAGCCAAGGTGGAATCTTAATGATAGCTTTGGCACAGCGTCTGGCTTCCATCTTTCAAAGGTGCTTTAGTAACAATGAGAGGATGTTCCAGCACAGGAAGTGTGGATTTGCTGAGTGAGCAGTTGTCGCCGGGTTGGCATAATTATCGTCTTGTTGACGCAGAGGCAGCGCTGGAATTGCACACCCACCAGCAGAACAGAGGCGTTGCTTGCTGTGTTGCAGGCATTATAATTAACTCAGCTAATACACACTAGGGTATTACTGAGGGGCACAGATACTTAATAGGATGCTTATCCCCATTGGACAATGCTCTTCATAGTCAGTTTTCCTAGCCCGCCCCAAACAGGAAAGGTCCAGCCTCGTGAAGAACTGCAGGTGAGGAATGGTCTTGCAGCTCATCACTGACCAATTATTTTGCAGCTCCATTCATTTAACCACCTGTCGAGACTTGCCAAGAACAACAGCCCTTGCCTGGAAGATTGCTCCTTGTTGCCATACACTTGGCCTGAGAGCTGCACATTTTCAGTGTCTCTAGTGACGTGATTGCCTTTTCCATTAGTTGGAGGGATGGGGGACCTCAGGCTCAGGGGTCAAATGTTGCCCTTCAGGCCTTTCTCTTTGGACCTTGGAACTCCCCCCCACCAGGCAACATCCCTCACTGGCCCTACTTCGCACCCCAAGCTTTCTGCTTGGCTCAAATGTGTCTTTGAAGGTTCATCACACCTCTTGCTTACTTGGATGGAGGGTGGAGAGAGAGGTGTGAGTGCAGAAGCTAGTCTGCTGTATAAGGGTAAAATTTGCATTCATTGCTCCGCCTGCTTTTGGCTCTAGTCCTGCCCACCACTTGCATGTGGCCCTCAGAAGGTTGCCCAGAAGGGAATGTGGCCCTTGGGGAGAAAAGGGCTCCGCACCCCTATCTTAGCAACCGCAGCTTGGGTGGCAACATATGCATCACCACAGAAAAGGAAATACATCACCAGAAATAGAATAGAATAGAATAGAATAGATTCTTTATTGTCATTACACAAGTGCAACATTGCACAAAGTGCAACGAAATTGGATGCCATCCCTTAAAACAACAAAAGCAAAACAACAACAACAACCAAACAAACCACATTCCAGCCACACCCACACCAACACCCATCAAACTCCCAGGTCACACTATCGAGTTACAGCATTCAAAAAGGCCACAGCTCTTGGATAGAAACTGTTTTTCAGTCTATTTGTCTTTGACTTGATGTTTCTATATCTCCTGCCAGAAGGCAGTAGTGCAAACAGACTGTGTCCCGGGTGAGATGAATCCTGCAGGATGTTATTTGCTTTCCTAAGACAACGGGAACCGTACAGTTCTTCCAAAGATGGGAGAGGATGACCAATAATCCTTTGGGCTGTGGTTATGACCTTCTGGAGCACCTTCCTCTCCCTAGCTGTACATTAGTTGAATGAAGACACATACGCGCTAATTATTTTTTTCCCGCATATGCTTATGTAAATGTAGCGATGAAAATGTAGACAGAATTACTACAATTTAGATGGAAATGCAAGACATCTCACAGTGGTTGAGAAAACTATGAGCGAGTGACCTGTGTGCCTGCTCCGTTTGCTTCTCAGGTGCAAATTCTTGACAGGCAACTCCAAGGCCCTTCCTGCTCTCCCTTCTTTAGGGTTTCTTCTTCTTCTTAAAAAAGAGAGGATTATTTCGAAACCAGTCATGTCCTATGAAAGCCTTTCAAAGCAGAGGACTGTAACGTAAGACACTTGGCCACCTCACACCTGCCCTGAGTCCTTTACTCCAGGTGGCTAGGTCTCTAAGCGGCCATTTTAAATTTCCCACAATGCTCCTAAGGGACATTAAGGGAAATATAAAATGGCAACCCGCAGCCACCTCACTGACACAGAAGGGGGCCTGTCAGAGAGTGGTTTCCTGAGGCAGCTGTCGCAGCTGGTAGATCACAGAGGCCTGTTGCAAGAAGAGAATAACATCACATACTCCGCAACATGTTGAGTCCCAGAACCAGGACACAAGTCTTCTCACATAACCCGTGTGAGATCATGGAGCCCCAAATACATGCTTTTGGGGGGCTGGGCCCTCATGACACCCCAAAACATGTGTTTTGGAGTGCTGCACAGCCCCCCCAATTTTTTTTTCAGGGTGAGATTTCATGTGATGGCCTTGGTGCTCTTGTGGGGGGAAACGGGTTGTTCTGGTTTTTCCGGGACAATTTCGATTTATGCTGTCAATTTAAAGAAGCAGGAGGAACAGAGTTGCAAAACTCACCCTTCGGCCTTGATACCCAATGGCCATTTTATTTTGGCCGGCTTTTCTTGCATGTGGCAGGTGTTTTTACACCTGGTTCATTCTTTCACATTGTGGTTCAAACTGCAATTTTAAATGTTGCAAGCAGCCCCAAGTGGTGCTTTCGCAGCCAAAGGGCGGGATTTAAATGTTTGCATAAATAAATAAGATTAAAAGCCTACATCCTTTTTTTGCTGTGACACCTGATCAAATAGTTTCATTTCGCTCTCCTCATGTTCACACACCCAGGACTACATCACCAGCTCCTGAATTATCAGATGGCTTCATTGTTATGCATGATGAGGATCAAGGGGAATCCATTCTGTTAGGAAAATGAACGCGTAAGGCAGGTGTGGGGAATATTTGGCCCTTCAGGTGTTGCCAGACTAAAACTCCCATCAGCCCCAGGAAGCATGCCCAATGGCCAGGCATGATGGGAGCTGTAGCCCAGCAAAATCTACAGGGCCAACAGTTACCTACTCTGCTGTAAGGGATGTGTTATTGTACACAGAACTGTTGAATTGATCAGAGACAGCAACCTTGTAGTTAAGCAATGGCCATTGGATGAACATCTGGACAGATTGTGTTTTATCTTGTATTTTATTCTGTGAACCACCCTGAGATCTCTTGATGAAGGGCGGCATATAAATTTAATAAATAAAAATAAAATAAATTCAGTGGATGGGCAGAATGTGACCCCAGAGAACAGCTGGAAGGCAGTATTACGCAATTCTCTTATGGCCCCACCCTGCCCCAAAATGTGTACACAATTTACAGAATGGTTAGATGTCAATTTGGGAGACATGGGCGTCCAAGTGGAGGATCAACTCAGCATAGGCCCATTGAAATTTATGGGCATGACACAGTTAGCCCCATTAATTGCAATGGATCTATTCTCAGGAGAATTCCGCTGCATACAGCCCTTTCCGAAGATAGATACATATAGAGATGATAGATAGATAGATAGATAGATAGATAGATAGATAGATGATAGATAGATAGATAGATAGATAGATAGATAGATAGATAGATAGATAGATAGATAGATGATAGATAGATAGATAGATGATAGATAAACCACAGATAGCAAAAATGAAATACGTAAATATCTAACAATCTAGAGGGTTGTATTCGGCTAAGTCCAACTCAGAGTAGACCAGTTAAAAGTAACAAACCTAAGTTAGCTATGCTCACTGATTTCAATGGGTCTACTCTGAGTAGCACTAGCACTGAAGACTGTCCAAAAAAAACCACAGATCTTAAAAGAAGGGGTAGCCAATGTGATGCCATTCCAGATATTGTTGGACTACAGCTCCCATCATTCCTGCCCATTGGCCCTGCTGCTTGAGGCTGGTGGGAGTTGTAGTTCAACAGCGTCTGGAGGGCACCCCCATCAGCTACCCCTGCCTTAGAACCACAAACCAGATGCATCGCTGCTCCAAAGCAGTTGGCATCATCACATAAGCAATTTGATTTGAGTTTCTACTGAAATGAGGCTGCATTTTAATGTTGTATTTTAATCTTGTTTTTAAGTTGTATTTAATCAATTTGTTTTTATACCTGGTGTTAGCCACCCTGAGCCCCGGTCTTGGCTGGGGAGGGCGGGGTATAAATAAAATTATTTATTATTATTATTATTATTATTACCCGTGTCAGAGCAATGCAACCGCATCATTTCCTGGAAGTACTTGTGAGTAGGTGCGTGGGGAGAAAGGACATGAGAGCAGCCAAGGAACACTCCCAGGTTGGCTTTCCCGTCACTGGGTAGTGATGAAGATGCCAAGAATAAGAGCTTTCTTCCACCACCACAGCTGCATCTCTTTTCCATCCTGCCTTCACAGTGTGTGCTGTTTGTCTGGGTGTACGTAAATGGCGGAGGAAGGATGTAGGATTGCGGTGGCGGCAGCTGAGCCAGACTACAGCTCCATAGATTTCTGAGCGTAGGTGGATTGCCAATAAAGTTTGCAAGTCTAGACATCACTTTTGGCCCTGCATGCTTCTTTTGACATCCCCGGTATCACCTGTGAGCATTGAGCAGTGTATCTTCCAGCAGTGGTGGGGATGCTCAGTTTCTTACTCCCTCGCTCTCTGCTTGTGTGTCATGTGCAAAAACATCATGATGTTCTTACTAGGGGCTGATGCCACTGCTCAATCCACTCACTATATCCATCTTGTGTGCTTCTCAGAATCACTTGGTGGGCCTCAAAATGGAATTAATTCCGGATCACGTTTTTCCCCTTTATCAAATGGACTAGTTGAGTTCACATTAAGTTCAAGGTTCAATTCTGGTTCGCCCAAATGTTCCTCAGCAATCAATCAATCAATCAATCAATCAATCAATAACTTGGGATGCTGCAAGCTGTTGTGCTAAAGTATAAAAGAAGAAGAGCAATAAACCTTAAAATAAAAAAAAAACCACAGTAGGATATAAATTGCTTAATTTCTTCTCCCCAACTAATATGATCTTTAAGTTTAAAGGCCTAGGAGTAAGCCCAAAGAGTAAAATAACCTGTAAGAAAATGAACTTGGAAGAGGAACTAGAAATTGTTCAGAGTTCTACCCCAAAATGAACTTAATTCACATTCCGTTCACCCAGGAATTCTGGGAATGACTTTCTGGTGCAGTTCAGAGGTTTCCTGTGATCATTCAGGCGTCCCTGGCAGTAATTGCTCCATTGCCAGAACACTCCGTCCTGCCTGCATACTTGCAATTGCTACTTTCCATATTCATGCTTCCCATTTTCCTGACATCTGTCGCCATCGTCAACACCTGTCACAACCACACCCAGAAATTATGTACTTTGCCCACACCCTCCCGGCGAAGTGTTTGCATTATTATCTCTGTACCTGCTCATGTGGCAACAGGGCCTTGAGGCTGGCAACAGTTAGAGACATCTACATCTTTCCTGCTTTGTCAGACTTCTTGGACAAAACAGACAGGCGGATCCCCTATCCCTGACTGACCTTAGTCAACCTTGATGCTCTGCCCATTGTGCTGGTTTCCTTCCATGCCCCCAACCTCGTCTTTATCTTCCTAGAATCCTTCCTTAGATGCACTTAACAGATCATCTGATGAAACAAGTATCTTTAAGATAAGTTTGCAACAGCAGCACACTTCCTGCTCCCGTTTGATTCTTTCTCTAGCCTCCTCATCCGGTCGGAGGCGGGTGATGAAGATAATCCCATCCGCAAAAGACAAAACAAAAAACTTTTGCTGTATTCTCAATATCGACGTCGGAGGATTCCAAAGAAAATGGAAATTGATAGTGTCTGCTTATTCGTTCCGCATCCTGAAGGGGAATCAATCCAGAAAATACTATCCATATTCACTGCTGTTGTGGTTTTCAGTCTACTAAACATTGTTGTTGTTTAGTCGTTTAGTTCGACTCTTCGTGACCCCATGGACCAGCGCACGCCAGGCACTCCTGTCTTCCACTGCCTCCTGCAGCTTGGTCAAACTCATGTTCGTAGCTTCGAGAACACTGTCCAACCATCTTGTCCTCTGTTGTCCCCTTCTCCTTGTGCCCTCAATCTTTCCCAACATCAGGGTCTTTTCCAGGGAGTCAATACAACAAGCCAATAGGGGTCATGAAGAGTCAGACACGACTAAACGACTAAACAACAACAACAACATTTCCTTGGTGCAGTTGCAGATGGGTAGCCGTGTTGGTCTGCCATAGTCAAAACAAAAAAAATTCCTTCCAGTAGCACCTTAAAGACCAACTAAGTTAGTTCTTGGTATGAGCTTTCGTGTGCATGCACACGAAAGCTCATACCAAGAACTAACTTAGTTGGTCTTTAAGGTGCTACTGGAAGGAATTTTTTTTATTTCCTTGGTGGTGAGAGAGGTTGGGGGTGGCCTAGGCTTTGGTTGGCTGTAGTGAGATTTGGTGTGTGTGTGTGTGTGTGTGTGTGTGTGTGTGTTGTGCGTGCTTTTGGATCAGGTTAGCCAGATTGATTGGTATGCTGTTGGCAGATTCTTTTTATTGTCTTTTTGGGCTGTGTATGTGATAAAGGGGAACCATACTGGAGTGAAGGCATCTTCTTCTATTTCAGTTTCAGTTTACTGGTTAGTTTTTCTAATAAGGCTGTTTTCCATACTATTTGATACCATTGGTCCATGTTTATTCCTGACAGGTCTCTCCAGTGTCTGGCTATGATGCTTCTGGCTGCTGAGAGTAGGTGGCTTATGAGCTCTTTATGATGTGAATGGGCATTATTATCTTGGAAGATATTTAGTAGCGCCAGTTCTGGGGTGATTTCTAATACTTGCTTAGTTATTTTGCATATTTCTTGTATGATTGATGTCCAGAAGAGTTGGATTTGGGGACATTACCACCACATGTGAAGGTATGTGCCTGTGGAGGTGCATCCTCTCCAGGAATTTGGTGAGTTTCTTTTTTTTCCCCATAAATTTTTTATTGAAGTTTCAAAAGTTTTTTATAACAACAAAACAGAACAATACAATAAAACAAACAAACAAAAGAATAAAAAACAAGTATAATTTCAACCCTTATTTTCTTGTAAGTTACTTCCCCGACTTCCTCGTACCTCCCCTTTCTGTATTCCAATTTCTAATTAAATATTCAGCAAATCCTTCCCTTGTTATTCACTTAATTTTTGACCTTTCTTTTCTTTTTTACTTATCCATTACCGCTGCTAACCACATATTTTCTAACGAATTTGGTGAGTTTCTTACTATTCCATCTTCATCTGCACCAAGGAACAGCCCAAAGAAACACCCCAATTAAGGCTGCTTCTCCATTCACATAGATTCCCTGGAACACCTCAGCTGGGATTTCGAAGTATCAGTCTGGCCCCTGGGTGTGTTTCTGTAACCTATAACCCAGTCCCTCCCCTCGATTGCAACCATAGTTATTATCTGCACTGTTGTGCTATTACTGAAATAGTCACAGCAATGACTAGCAACATGATTTCCGGTTGGCTGGAAGGGCACCACACAAGCCATGTTAAATGGCACAGCATATACTGTATTGAATATTGGTCCACGATGGGATGGACCAGTAAAATTGTAAATCAGTGCAGCTACTAGGGAGGAAAGACAAATTAAATTCAGCTTGCATGTAAAGGCAAACTTACCACATGCACACTTTTAAAAATTCTTTATTAAACTTTCTGGAAGATACAAATTAAAAATGAAACGAACAAAACGGGTGCAATGGGTGAGTTATTACCACAACAGGCTTAAGATTGACCAATGACTATATATACTGATAATCTCCATACTTTCTTTCTTCTTCATATTTTCTTTACAGGATTTTTGTTTGCAGAGTTTTGGGGTGAAGAAATAACTCAAAAGCTCCGCATTTTCTTTATCTTTTGCCCCTTGGTTATTTTCTGTGTCAATTTCTCTAAAAGAGCACATTGTCATGCTTTTTGATACCTCTGGTTTATGTTCTCCAGTGACTTCCACTTCTGAGTTACCACTGCTTGTGCAGCCAATAGTTCAACAGCTCTTTATGATCAAGATCTAAATTTCTATCCAAAAGCATATTTAACAGAACCAAAGTCATTTGACCAGCAATCTCACTGATCTCCTGGCATAACCAGCTTCCAAAATTAATACAAATGCTTTGTTACTTTCTGTAACAACATGCAAACCGGACCACAGCTAGCCTTTGAAATTGCAGTTTTCTGAATTTTGCAGTGCAGTTCTTCAGCCGAATAGAAGGCACAAAAATTCATATATTGGGACGTAAAAAATTAGTGAAAATAACATACAAATGTGCATTACATTAGGGGAACTTGCTTTGCAGAGGTGTGTTTATAAGGGGAATTTGCTCAAAAATGAAATTGCAAACTGATGTGGAAATGTGGATAACTGAATTTAAGATTGGAAAAGGTACAAATAGAGAGAAACTGAAATTGATATATTTGTCCACCCCTAACATCTATATAGGATATCATTCTAGAGGAGGGCTTGAGAACCCATGACTTCCCAAATATTGCTAGACTCCAACTCCCGTTAGTGTAGCCAATGGTCAGGGATGATGAGAGTTGCAGTCCACCAACACCTTGAAAGCCACAGGTTCCCTACCCTGATATGGATGATAAATCAATAATAAAAATAAATTAATATCATGAACAGTAAAAATCCACAAAGCCTGGATAAAAATGAGTTTTCAGAAACTATCTAAGGATAGGGAGTGAGGGTTTGGCAAAGCTCCCCAGGGAGGGAAATCTACAACAGCAGTACCACCACTGAAAAGGCCCTGTCCCTAACCCTACTCCAGAAAGCAGGGTCTCAGATGCTGATCATGGCTTGGGTATGTTCCAGGCTAGCTCACCCATTGGGCAAAGTGAGGCAACCACCTCAGGTGGCAGGATCCATTGGGAACACAGATCCTGATGTAGATCTTTATTCACCCCTGGGTTCCTGATGTAGGTCCTCACTTTCCACTTCTTCTCTCACAGGGAGGGGCCGCCATTTTATGGTTTGCCTCACGGGCCAGCATGTATTATGCTGGGTATGTTCATCTAGTCCGTGGTTCCCAACGTAGGGCACACATCCCACAGGGGGGCAATTTGATTTTTAAGGGGGGCAATTTGAGAATGAGTTATTAACAGTGAACGGCCTTTTAGGCTTCCTCCACATGAACAGGTGTTCACTTTTTGAATAATAAGAATTATATGTCATGGGGGGCGCATCAGGATTTTAGAGATGCTTAGGTGAGGCACGGCCAAAAAAGGTTGGGAACCACTGATCTAGATAGTGACTGGAAGTTGTTAGACCTCATTTATGAAACAATTGGTATTCATGATTTGCACAACGGTCATAATAATTTTCATAAAAGACAATTTTCTAATTAATGGTAAGTCATCAGAGAGATTAGATTGATGTACCAGGAAAAGGGATGAGATAGACCTATAATCCTCAACCTTTCCTGACCTGGGAACCACCTTGAACTCAAACATGCATTGGCCCATTTCTTGATTTTTTTTAAAAAAACATATTCATCTGGTAGTTGTGCATTGTAGCAACCACCTTAGATCAAGTCATGACCCATTAGTGGGTCCTAACCCACCATCTAAAGACCAGTATGCTCAACCACAGACTTGCTGTCACAGAACTGTTGATTCCTCATTATTAGAGACTACTGCCTCCCTTACCATATTGCATAAGAGAGGGTTCTGCCTCTTCACACATACAAACATATGCTGGCTGCACTATAACTGTCTCAAGGTGGTTATCACAGGGATTGTTCCTACATGAGCAATACGGTTTGATTATCAATCCTGGCTTGGCTGTCCTAACCACATTTCTCTAAGGTATTTTGAATGACGCTGCTCACCAAAGACAGCCACCAGCATTTTCTTCTCCATCTCTCATCCCGGCATGGATGTGTCAGCAGCTCCTGATTTTGCCCAGGGTTGTTGACTCAGCTCATCGCAACTTCCATTTCACCACTCAGCTGCTTCAGTTTCAAGGGCTTCTCATTAGACACTTACGAAAGAAGACCTTGGGACCGTCCAATGAAACTGGCTGGCAAAAGACTCAGGATAGATGGTACTTCACACAATGTATCATTATTTTATGGGTTCAATGTTATGGAATTTGCTTCTGCAAGATGTGTTGATAGCATTCAAAGCGGATTAGGCAAAACCACAGCTTTCAAAGCGGATTAGGCAAAACCACAGAGGGTGAGTCTTAGAAATTGCAACAAGTCATGGTGGCAATACGCAATATACCTCTGAATGAGAACTGAATCACAGTTCTCTCCCATCCTTAGCCAGCATGGCTAGTGTTCACAGGTGATAAGCAAAACTGCACAGGTCCCACCATGCCTGCTGTGAACAGAAGCTTGACATGCAGAAATCATCTTGTAAGTCTTAACCTGAAGGCAGGATGCTCCAATAGATGGTCATCTGCTAATCACTGTTCATCCAACTGCACTAAGAGTCTAGCTGGAACATTGATAAAAGCCCAGGTCTCTTCTGAAGCATTGCTCTGTGCAGAAAACAAAAAACAGACATGCGCAATAGAAACTTCTAACAAGGGTGGATTGTATACCTGACATCCATGGGCATGCAAGAGATCTAGATTTTCCTTTGGAGGTGAAGGAGAGCCTGCCTTTCAGGTTTCTCGAGTGCCAATCTTTTCAGGAGTGCAAAGGAAGGTTTTCATATTTCCCTTTCCTCCGCCACCCTTCCCTGGAAAAAGGTACAGTGGAGGTGCCACTGTTCTCTTGGGTATGCATTGCATATAGTGCCATAAATATCCTGGGATGAGCCCTGCCTGCAAATGCCCCTTGGCAAGACTGCAAGAACAATCATATGAAGAGGTGGAGGGTGGACCTATCAGCAGCTTGGCCCATTCAGCTCTTAACGTGGGTTTTCTTGATGAAGTTCAGAGATCAGAAGATAGACAGCCGCGGCTTTGAGTCACAGCGAGAGCCTTCAAAGTTGTGATGCACCAGGAAGGGAATCCATCAAGGCCGCCCTGCTCCCCTGGCATTTAAATGCTAACTTCTCCACTAGTTATTCACCTGCTCTCCTACCAGACATCACTGTTGAAGCTCCTTCCACCCAGGGCTTCTCCGTCAGGAACGGCAGGTAAGCCTACATATAGATTCGCTCTTAGGGTTATGTTTAGAATGTTATCCAGGAGGCAAAGAAACTGTGCTTATTAATCAGCAGGCAATTCTTGTTTCAGCTATTTCCGGTTATCTGCGTGTGTCGTCGGGAGTGCTATTCAAAATATGAAACGGCATATTGCTGGCTGCCGTTGGGGAGCTATTCGATGGAGAGCCTCAAATAAATAATTAAAACACCCATCCGTCATCACGGCTGTCAAGGAGCTAAGCTGCAAAGGCATCCATCACGCCATCCATGCCTATGTTTTCCTTCTCTTGCAGCCTTGGCAGTCAAACAATAGGAGAGATTGGGAGTCATTCTTGGCTACTGTTTCTCAGGATGTTGGAAGGCAATTTTGCAAGGGGAAATCCCTGTGTTTCCTTGCTTCTTTTTTTAAAAAATATATCCTGATAGTTATTTATTTATTTATTTTATATACCGCTTTACGCCACAGCTGGCTTCTAAGTGGATTATACAGTTGGATGATAGAAATGCAACATGGAGCTACAGGGCGTTGATCTTACAGGTGGGTTGATCTTAACGAAGGGTAGTTGGATTCAAAGAGTTGAAGCGACATTGTGTGTGAGTCTGGTGAATGTTTCCAATTTGAAGTTCAGAGTTCAGAGTTGAATTGAACCTGATACTTGAGAATACCGCCCATACACCATTGTTTTCAGAGTTCCTTACTGAAGGATGACTCAGATATCTACAGCTTCCCAATGAGATTTCAGAATGCATGAATTTCTTAAGAGTATCAGAATACTGGGAATTTTGGTGAAATCTGGTTGTCTTGTTCACTGCTACTCTTGTTGTTGTTGGGACTCAAGTCTTGGCACAAAAATATGTGTAGTCTCTCCCCGTGTGTGTGCTCATTCTACTCCAAAATAAGAACATGGATTTAGACTGCTATGCTATCCCTTAGAATAGGCCCGAATGAACTGAATGGAACCGACTTCTGAGTAGGCATCTGCTGGATTGTTCTGTTGGAATGTGTAACCCAAAATGTGAAATTCTGGAACCCAAATATGTGCATTTATGCCCATCTTACCTGTGAATTTTCAAACACATGATTTGGAGACTTGCATCACAAAATTCAGATGAGTCTGAACTTTCACAGTTGGCTGCAGTGACATCCACACCTTATATTTGAAACACATTCATACCACTTTAACCATCATGGCTTCCCCCAAAGAATCATTGGAACTATAGGTTACCCCTCACAGAGCTACAGTTCCAAGAACCCTTAACAAACTACGATTCCATTGGATTCTTTGGGGAGGAAGCCATGAATGTTAAAGTGGTGTGACAATGTTTTAAATATGTCATGTGTATGGCTGATCTGTGATCGTAATCATTGATTGAAACTTTTGGCTGGCCTGATGAATGCCAAGCTGTATGGCTACCACAAATGGCAGCCTATCTATCTATCATCTATCTATCTATCTATCTATCTATCTATCTATCTATCTATCTATTAGTAAAAGCAACCTTGGCCACTATTGCAGAAGGCAAAGGGTAAAAGACACAGTCATTTTGAAATATTTTCTCTCTCCCCACCTCTTTCTCTCCCACCAAGTGGCTTTTAAAATAATACCATATTCCCACAGCAGCGTTTACTACAGGCTACTTTTACTATAGCGTTTACTTCAGTTCACTAGAATTACATTTCTGGTCACCATTGGCAGTTGTATTGATGGACACCTGGCTAAGAAGTTGTCTAATTATTGGAATTATGCTTCATAATTATACTGTGGGCCTTTGTTGGAATTTAGCTTGCTTTCAGTAGAGGTGAATTTCTGTTAGATACAGAGAGCACCTATATATAAGCAGGGGTGTATGAGGAGCTAGGGGAGAGGTAGTTCCTCTGGTGGGGGACATGTTGTGCTCCTTCTGCGATAGCTTGTCCACCTTAGGTCCCCACCCTGTGCTTAGCTTTCACCTGTGGCTTCTAGAAGCTGTCCGGATGCAACAGCAGCCACACCCTGGGAATGGCTTCAACTGGCCGACTAAACCACGTGAGGGTAGTCGAACCCTCGGTGAGTTAGGGATTTCCCTAACTTTTTCAGATCTGAGACCCACCTTTAGTCCAAACATGCATTTGGGGATCCCTATCTCCATAATTCCCCCTTGTATCTGTATGGTGGTAGTACCGCTGTTGTGTCTCAGATTGCCTTAGATTAAGCTGCAACCCAGCAGTAGGTCCCAACCTACCAGATGAACACCAATGAGAGGGTCACAGGGTCCCCAGGCTTGCCCCAATCCAGGACTTTAACACAGAAATGGACAAGAACATCTGGTCCTCCAGATGTTGCTGGACTCCAACTGCAAGATCGCACTCAATATATAATTAAACATCAATAAAATAACAATAAGATAAAAGAGCTTCTAAATACACTAATCAGGTAAGATTAAAGGACAGGAAGGAATTCAGTTCAACAGCATAATATAAATAAACAAAGATTTTAGCAGTCACCTGCATTTTGACCATGGAGCCTCTTCACCATATGACTGCTTCAAGGTAAATCCAGAGTGCTCTGTCTCTCATAAAATTACTCCCCCAATTACCAGGGATGTTGAATGAAAAATGCTCTCTGATTACAACCTGATTGCAATGATACTCTGCTGGAATTTGCATCTGCCTGCAGACAGAATATATCTGCTGTCTATCCTACTGCCACCTCATCAGGGATGATGAGAGGTGTAGTCCAATGACACCTGGAGGGCCCCAAGTTGCCCAACCTTTCTCTCATCACTTCACACTGCCCCTCTTTTTTCTCATATTGGATTCCTGGGGTTGCATCTAGTGTTGACCATCATCAGAGTACACCCATTGAAATTAATTGACATGGTTAACTTGGGTCCACTAATTCAGTGTTTCCCAACCGGTGTTCCGCGGCACACTAGTGTGCCGTGGAACGTTGCCTTGTGTTCCGTGGGAGGGAGGCGGGCGAGTCGGGCGGCGAGAGGCGGGGCGGCGGCGGCGAGCACACGCGGGGCGGCGAGCGAGCTCCCTCCCACATCCCATCGCCGCTCGCTTCGGCCGGCCTACTGGAGGAAGGCGCGAAAACCTCGCGCATGCGCAGGCCTTCCGCCTGCGACAGCCCAGTAGGCCGGCCGAAGCGAGCGGCGATGGGATGTGGGAGGGAGCTCGCTCGCCGCCCCGCGTGTGCTCGCCGCCCGACTCGCCCGCCTCCCTCCCACGGCACACCAGCCTACCTCCATGGGAGGGAGGCGGGCGAGTCGGGCGGCGAGAGGCGGGGCGGCGGCGGCGAGGAGAGGCCGCCCAGCGCGGGGCTCTCGCCGTCTGCCTGCCTGGCTGCCTGCGAGCTCGGCGGGCAGCGCTTCCGCCCGCAGCGCCCGCCTCGCGGCTCTCATTCCCTGCCCCTGCCAAAGCTCACCCAGCCAAGCTGCGCTCTCCTTCCTGCCTCGCTTTGCTGCCTCCTCCCCCCCCACCCCCAAAGCTTGGAGGTTCCCCGGCAGGAAGGAGGGAACTTAATCCTCTCCAAGGGCTGCGGAAAACAGACATGCAAATGGGGGCTTGCCAGCTCTTCAAGCGCCGCCGGCTTTCTTCGGGAATTACCGCCCGCCGAGCCCGGTAACGCTGACAGGCCGAGCCGCGGGGCTTGGCAGCGCAGCCGGCAGAGTGTGGGAAAGGGCGGCCGCCACGCGCCGGGCAAGGCGAGACTCGACGGGGAGGACACCGGCAGCAGCGCCCCCTCCCCAGAAACCCGCTCCGGGCAGGTAATTCACAGAGAGTGGACAGAAGGAAGCCTTAAAGGGCTTCAGCCTCCCAGAGTGGCGGGGAATAATAATAATAATAATGATAATAATAAAATTGACAGGGGGTGTTTTCTAGGTGAGGGGGTGAGGACTGTAATAACAAAAAAACCAGCTCTATATCAACCGCTGTTTTGCAATGAGGAATTGCAAATAAGGAAGATCAAAAGGAGAATGGTTTTTTTGGGGGGACTCTCTTCCTCTTCCTCCTCCTCCTCTCGTTCTTGCTCCTCTTCCTGGCAAAAGGGCTGCTGAGACCCCTTCTCTCTTGGGTGCCGGTGGGTGCTGTGACGTTGACGCTGCTGTGGCAAGTGCCTTTACTTAGCAGAGTGCATTCCCCTTTACACAGGAGGGGAGGGGAAAAAATTGAAACTTACACTTTCGTGCGTCCCTCCCGGCGCGACGCTGCGCGCTGACATCACGGGGCTGTAATGGTGGTGTGCCTCGAGATTTTTTTCATCAAACAAGTGTGCCTTTGCCCAAAAAAGGTTGGGAAACACTGCACTAATTTCAATGTCTCTGCCCTGGGGTTGCATCCAACTAAGTTCCACCTAGAGTAGACCCATTGACATCAATTGACCTAAGTTAGTCATGTCCATTAATTCCAATAGGTCTGGTCTGAGTGGAACTAGCATTGGTTCATAATAATGCACCCCCCTAAGGGACAACACATCTGATTTTCAAAATGCTTTAAAAGCTTTGTCTTGCGTTTGCTATTCATTTCATAACTTATCATTCTGCTCTTCAGTCCCCAAAGCAGCTAACAACCAGTTAAACCAACATAGCAATTCTTCTATTCTGTTATTATCATGGCTTTGCTCCTTCATTTATTTTATTAGTGTTGTTGTTAGGCTGATAGGAAAGAAATCGCATCCTCTTTTCCATTCAGCCCTGACCCCGTGGGGGGGTCACACGTGTCCTCAACCAAACAGGAAGCATTTACCTTGACGTTTGCTTCAGCATAAGCGCTAACAATAATGTATCATGAATAATAACTACTGGTGAGTTGTTTACATAAACAATTACTGATGATAATGTTGTTCATTATCGTCATTTGGGTGTGTGCTGTGGTACCGGTATCAGTGACTCAATCTGACATCCATCCATCACAATTGTTCACCGTAAATGTTTTACCCTGCAGCAAGTTCCTTGGGAAGACTGGTCTCTTGATCTGCCAGTGCAACGATGAAGCTGTTGGCGTTTGGGCTGCTCCTGATGAGCTCTGGAGGTAAGGAAGTAAGCAAAGTGACATGGGGGCAGCAACCATGCTCACTGTTTTCTTCTTTTTCCTTCCCCCCCCTTGTGCCTATAGTGTTGGGAGCAATGAGAATAGTAGTGGTCTTCTGCTCAGATCCTTCTTTCAGGCTTCCCATAGGCCTCTGGTTGGCCACTGTGAGAACAGGATGCTAGAATAGAAGGTCTCTTTGTTATGTTCCTAAGTTGTTGTTATTTGTTGATTTTGGAAATGTGTATCCCTCCAGTATCAGGGAGCCGACAGGCAGAGCAGGTCATTCGCAGGAGAGAGAGAGAGAGAGAGAGAGAGAGAGAGAGAGAGAGAGAGAGAGAGAGGAAGGAGAGGAGAGGGAGAGGAGAGAAGAGAAGATAGGATAAGATAAGATAAGAGAAGATAAACTTTATTCGCATTAGCCAACGGCCATGGAGAGAGAGAGAGAGAGAGAGAGAGAGAGAGAGAGAGAGAGATATGCTTGGCTGACTTGCAAAACAAAGAACAAACAGAGACTTCTAAAAGGTAAAGCTGCCTAATGAAGCAGTTGTTCGAAACTGGTGTGTAGCCCCTCCTTCACTCTCTAGCCCCCTGCATCAGGCTGCTCCCTCTGGGATCTTTTGCTCCAGCAAGCTCAAGGGGACACCCTCTTTGTCTGCCTGACTCACTGCTCAGCAACAAGCAACACTTCGTTCTAGGAATGGCGGGGCAGCAAGCTGTCAGCAGAGAAGCTGTCAGAGTGGCTCTGAGGGAGAACTGCTGGGTCTACCTCCCCTCTGTCATCGCTGCCGGCGCCTGCATCCAAACCGGAAGCCTCCTCACTGTGTCCTGTGCTGGGGCAGTTTCTGCCAGTTTCTGTCTCTTTACTTACCCTCAAGTGCCCTGCTTCTAGCACTTCCCAGCTCATCCCCTCCTCTGAGGTGTGGCCAGTGTCCCACCACCAGTCCCCAGGCTCCTCTTCCTCTGCGCCTTCCCTGGGGGGTGCCTCTTGGTTGGGTGGTTTCCACCACTCTTCCTCAGCCAGCCCCTGACATTCATGGCTTTTTGAGTGGTCGCAGAGTACACCCCCCTAATTCCCTGTCCCATATTCAGTTTCTCAAAAGGGGAGCCATGAAATTTCTTAAGGGTTTGAGGGGCTTACCTGTGGTAATTTGAGCCTTATCTATTTTCCTCCACCACTGCGTGCTGACATTTACTTACTTACTTACTTACTTACTTACTTACTTACTTACTTACTTACCCTCAGTGAAGACTGCCCTTTCCCCACCCAGGATGATGTTACTACATCCAGGGCATCTTGGGGGAAAATAAGATGGCAGCCAGGAGTGACCTTAAGGGCCTCTCTTAACCCAGTGCTGAAGTAAGATTCCATTGCCAGTCCTGTCAGTTGAAGGAGGTAAGATGAGGAGGAAGGGTGCCATCTTATTTTTTGCCTTAGGCAGCGAAATGTATTGGGAGGCGCTGAGTGGTTTTCCTTCTGGTTGGAGCTACCTGTAGAGGCCCCCCCCCACCTCCAAATGATGTTATACCCAGGGTATTATCTCAGTTCCGACTGAACCAGAAGAGGTCGTTGATGTTTTAGGCCTGTGCTGGAGGCAGTGATGGGCTGCTTGTGGACCAATAAGCTGAAGGTGAATCCCCAAAAGATGGAGGTGATATGTGTCTCAAGTTTTCACATACAGGAGGTGACCTGCCCTGAATGGGGTGGCACTTCCCTGGAAAGAGCAGGTTCGCAGTTTGCGGGTGACCCTGGCTTCAAGACTGTTGTCTGAAGGCTCAGGTGGCCTTAGTGGTAGCAGTACCTTTTCCTCCAGCTCCAGTTGATTTGCTTTCTTTGTTGAGCAAGAGATGATATGTTTGCTGTCTGCCATGCTCTGGTAACTTCTAGACTGGAGTATAGCAATACGCTGTTACTTAGAGCTGTCCTTGAAGATGACTTGGAAACTTCAATTGGTCCAAAATGCAGCAGCCAGATTGCTGGCTGGGGTTCTGTTTAGATATCATATAACTGTCCCATTTCGCCATCTGAGGTGAGATGGGAAGTGCTGCCACGCTGCAACCCCTCACTTCTGCTGCTATCAGAACACCCCACCTCACCAAACTCAGCAAGAGGAGGGATGTTCTGCAAGGTGCTCTCACTCGCCTTCTCCAGCCCAGAGGCAGGAAGATCACTGGCAACGCAGCACTCCAGAATGCCTGTTCTGAGCACACCAGCCCCCCTAATGAGGACGCACCATTGAAAGTTTAGTTCAGGGGTTGGAAAGGTTTACTTTGGGCTGGTTCACTCCAACGGAGATCCCTCTGTGGGCCAGATCACACCCGCAATTTCCGGCATCTGAGTCTTCACAGATGTAATTTCCGGCACCATGGAAGTGAGTCCCCACACCGGTTTAGCACAGCACGTGGGGACTCGCCAAGCTGGCCGCTCGGTTTGGGGGCGGCTCATGGGCCGTTAAACGACCCCCGTGGGCCGCTTGTGGCCCATAGGCCTTAGGTTGCCGACCCCTGGTTTAGTTCTTTATTGGCAAAGCACTTGGTTACATCAGCTTCCAAGGTGAAATAATCGCATGCACTGCTTCTGCTAAATAGCTAGCTGGGCGTCTGTGTCTTCAGACAGTTGGAGCAGCAGTGTGACCTCATCTCCACCAGCACATTAAATGCCTTCTTCTGACATGGCGCATGCAAGCAGCCAGCAGCTTCTCCTGCATGGCAGCTTCAGCAGATTCTAATGGCCAGGCACTCCCTGGGACTGTCTCTTCCACCTCTGTGCTGTCCTGCAACTCTATCGCCTGCCTCACTTCTCTTCCCATCTCTGGCTACCTGGCCTCTTCCACTCCCCGCTGCCTCACAGGTGGCACAGAACCCCACACGTCACTGGCCCCTTCTCCTAGATTACCTCATGCCTGACCCCCTCCTCTGCCCCCCCCTTCAGGCTCCTGCCCTGCCTGTCCTTCACAAAGCCCTTTCTCTTGCCAAACTTTCCGAGAGAAGGGGCATTCTGCAAAGTGTTGCCGCTCACCTTCTCCACCCCAGGGCTGGGAGGATGAGTGGCAACAGGGTGTGCTGGAATGCCTCTCCTCTCGTGCTTCCACCATGTGAGGCTGGTGCTTCCCTCTGCCTCATCTTTAGGCCAGCTCTGATCTCTGTTTTAAAACAGCTTCACTGGTTTCTGAGCCCACTGCAAAGTGCTCATTTTATGTTTAAAGCCTTAAATGATTCAGGCCCCCCAAATATCTGGAAGACCGCCTTCTTCCACACAGACCCTCTCAGGTGCTTAGATTGGCAAGGTGGGGACCTATTGGAAGTCACCAAGACCACAAGGTGGTGGTGGCCCAGCAGAGGGCATTCTCTGTGACAGCCCCTAAGTCGTGTAACTCCTCTAAAGCTTCTAGCAAATACTCCATCCTGATATTTGACACTCTAGGTCAGGCATAGGCAAACTCGGCCCCTCAGATGTTTTGGGACCACAACTCCCATCATTCCTGACCACTAGTTCTGTTAGCTAGGGATGATGGGAGTTGTAGTCCCAGAACATCTGGAGGGCCGAGTTTGCCTATGCCTGCTCTAGGTGAATATTTTTAGGACACCTCCCCCCCTTTCTGTGATTGTAAGTTGTTTTAAACTGCTTTTAATATTGTGTTTTAATGTTGTAACCTACCCTGGACCTTAGGGTGAAAGGTGGTTAATAATAATAATAATAATAACAATAGCAATAATAAAAATTAGTAGTATTAGTATTGGGCAAATAAAATGGCAGCTAGCAGAAACCTTAAGAGCCTCTTTCTACCTCAGTGATGAAGTGATATTCATGAAAGTGGGGGGTCATCTGCCTTTGCCTCAGGTAAAAATAATATGTACAGTATTTGGTATCTGGGAGGGTGTTTCCTCTCTGGTTGAAACTTCCCACATTCCAACCAGTGTGATTTTTTTTTAATGTTTTAACCATTTATGTGGATTTTAAATGGAGAGACTTACAGGTAATCAAAGAGCGCTGGGCAAACTGGGTTCTGAGGCAGCAATGTGCTGGCACACTCTCTCAATTTCTCACCTGAAAGTAATAAGGACCTACCAGACAGGTTGATGGAACGATAAACAAGGTTGTTAACATGCTGCCTATCAGACAGCAATTATAAAGATACCTAACGTCAAACAGCTGTAGACATCTTGTCCCAACATCCCTACTTAACCAATGGACAGTCCTGATCCTGGAACGCTTCCATATTACGTACCTGCTTTACTGGGCGTTTGTTCTGTAGGGCTGCAGCTCAGTGGTAGAGCTTCTGTTTTGCATGGGGAAGATCCCGGGTTCAACCCCCAACACCTCCAGATGGGAGAGACTCTTTCCTGAAACCCTGGAGAGCCACTGCCTGCCAGTGTAGACAATACTGAGATAGATGGGTCAATGGTCTGTCTCGCTATAAGGCAACTTCCTGTGTTCCTGTGCTGTGTTCTGTCCCCACTGTTGGAGCCAATATGGCTCTGAATGTCAGTTGCTGGGAATCACAAACAGGGAGAAGGCTGTTCTTCTGCTTGCCGGCATCTGGTTGGCCAATGTGACAACAGGATGTTAGGCTAGACAGGCCACTGGCTTGATCCAGCAGGCTCTTCTTACGTTTTTACGTTCATTGGGCAAACCCAAATTTGCCGGTAAACCATGAGCTGTTGGTTTGACTGCAATAATGTCCCACAAGAACTGTTTGCTCCTGTTGTAAGAATTATATGCTCCATGTGTATTATTTCCTCCATACTTGGATTCCACCGCACTGTATAGGAAGAAGCTATGATACTGTAATGTAGGGGTAGCCAACACAATGCCCTCCAGGTATTATAGGACTCCCATAAGTCACAGCTGGCAAGGCTGATGTCTATGGCTGATGGGCGCTGTAGTCCAAGCTCATGTGGAGGGCACCATATTGGCTGTCCCTGTAATAAGACAGAGAACTGTTGTTGTTTAGTCATTTAGTCGTGTCCGACTCTTCGTGACCCCATGGACCAGAGCACACCAGGCACTCCTGTCTTCCACTGCCTCCCACAGTTTGGTCAGACTCATGTTAGTAGCTACCAGGTTGGAACTGGAGAGCCTGCCTTTATCTTTAGAAGTACTACTGAAGCAGGGAAGGTTGCCAAGTCCCTTCACTCAGCCTCCTCTCCCATCTGCTATAGGTCAGAATTTGCACACATTCACATATGGGGCATCTGAAATTTCTGAAGAGAGATAATGGAGGGGTCGTAACTCAGTGGTAGTAGAGCACGCAGAGCACACACTTGCACATAGAACGTCCTGGCTTTGATCCCCGGCATCTCTTACTAAAAGGCAGATGTCATGTGATGTGATAGAACTCTGCCTGAGACCCGAGAGATCCACTGCCCGTCCGAGTAGGCAATGCTGTGCTTAGATGGACAAATAGTCTGCCCTGGTACATGGCATTTTTTCTATGTGCCTAGCCTTCACAAGACTCTGAAGAGCATTGGTGCCACTGGCGAACCATGTTGACGAGTGAATTGTGAAGCACAGGTTGGGAAAACAACTTTTTGTGTGGGCCCTGAATGGTCATTGAATGAGGAAGGACCACAGGTCAGTGATGGAGCATCTTCTTTGTATGTAAAAAGTTCCAAGTTCAAACCCTAGCATCTCCAGGTAGGGCTGGGAATGTTCCCCACCTGAAATCCTAGAGAGATGCTGCCAATCTGTGTAGACAATACTGAGCTGGATGGACCAATGGTCTTACTTGCTTTGAGGCAGCTTCTTCTGTTCCTTCTTTTAGCAGAAATCCTGTGGTCCACCAATCTGTGTTAAGGCAAGATTACATACTCAGGATCTCTCATTATTTCACAATTTTTAAAATCTTGCCCACATTAAGCTTACATGAAATCGAGTTCCTGAAACAAACCACTGGTATAAAAAACATGACGGAAATAACCACAAAGTTTTTGCTTTGTTTTGTTGCAGCTTTTGCCCAGCCAGGCACAGCTGATCGAATAATTGGAGGGTACGTTTGTCCGCAACAGTCCAGACCTTACCAGGCGGCCATTGTAACCGGACGCAGAGGCAACTGGAACATTTATTGTGGAGGAAGCTTAGTGCATCCATGTTGGGTGCTCTCAGCAGCCCATTGCAGACCCAGACCCGGGTAAGTGAAGGCTGTAGCAAGATGCAGCGACATGGGGGGGGGGGTAGAATGCTTCCTCTGGGACAAGCAACAGCCTTACTTTAACAGCCTGGCAATCTGACAAAGAGGCATAAACTGGATTGATCTGTGATCAGCATTCACACAGCTCATCCACAATCTATTCTTTTGTTCAGTTTTGCATTTGCCTTGTGCCCCCATACAGAATGAAGGTGTGCTTAGGAAAGCACAACTTGAAGAGGGTTGAACAGGGAGAACAGTGCTTGGATATCGCTGAAGTTAAAGTGTACCCTGGGTACAACCGGAGACAAAATGACAAGGATTTCATGCTTCTCCGACTTCGCCCCTGTGCCAGACTTTCCGAAACTGTAAAGACTATCAACCTACCTACAAGCAGCCCTACTGACGGGAGTGTATGCAGTGTCTCGGGCTGGGGTACCATCAGATCTCCTCAAGGTAAGCTTGCAAACTTTAGAAGGTGGGAGGGGATACTAACATATCTAAAGAACTTCTTGTTGTTGGTATTAAAGTTTTCAGCAATGTGTTCTTCAACGTCTTTTTTTAGCATCCCTTTCTGTCTGCTTGGACTTTTTTTTTTCTGTTTCACCACTACCACTGACCATTTGGTGCTCTACATATCTGTTCCAGCTCAGCTTCCAGCTCAGCTGCAGTGTGCAGATGTCAACGTTGTCCCAACATCACAGTGTAATATGGCGTATCGTGGTGCTATTACACCGTTCATGATGTGTGCTGGAGTACAGGAAGGAGGCACAGACTCTTGCCAGGTGAGAGGAGGGCTGATGTGAAGATAGACTACACCTTTTGAGAGGTTGAAAAAGGGTTAGGGTCTTAAGCATGGACAAATCAATCGGTTTTTGGTCCCTGTCAGATTCACACATTTTCATTTACTAGCCTGTTCCCTCCCATTTCTGCATCACTCTGCATTTATTTATTTTTAATGTATGGAATTTATTATTATTACAGTCGTACCTTGGAAGTCGAACGGAATCCATTCCGGAAGTCCATTTGACTTCCAAAATATTCAAAAACCAAAGCCCGGCTTCTGATTCGCTGCAGGAAGCTCCTGCAGCGAATCAGAAGCCGTGAAAGCCCTGCTGGACGTTCAGCTTCCAAAAATAGTTCACAAACCGGAACAGTCACTTCCAGGTTTGCAACGTTCGACTCACAAGGCGTTCAAAAACCAAGGTACGATTGTGTTGTTGTTGTTGTTGTTGTTGTTGTTATCTTTATCATTATCATTTATTGAATTTATATACCACCCTATACCCAGAGGTCTCAGGGCAGCTCATAGAACAAAATCATAATATAAAACCACAAAATATATCATCAAATAAAAACAACAACCCAATAACACCCCCCCAATCAGATAGCAAATCAGTGTTTAGGTCTCTAAGGCAGAGATCAGCAACTGATGGGCACCAGAGGTGCACCCACTCCACCAAATCCCTCTTCAATCCCACCTTGCCACGCAACTTACTTGTAGGTTTTCCAAAAGAAAAGGGGCAATGGGGAAAGCTTTTCAGAAAGAAAAGGCCTTGGCGGGTGGATGTTACCTACAGGACAGTATGTTGCTGACCTCTTCTCTAGGGTCAACCTCTTCTCTAGGGTCAAAACAAACTAAAGGGCCAGTATAGGCAGCTTATTTCTTTTGGAAGATTTTGTGTACATTTTATCCTAAAATATGCATTTTAGTGCACATTTTGGTACAGTGATACCTCAGGTTACAGACACCTCGGGTTACAGACACTTCGGGTTACAAACTCCGCTAACCCGGAAGTAGTACCTCGGGTTAAGAACTTTGCCCCAGGATGAGAACAGAAATCACGCTGTGGCGGTGCAGCAGCAACAGGAGGCCCCATTAGCTAAAGTGGCACCTCAGGTTAAGAATGGTTTCAGGTTAAGAACGGACCTCTGGAACGAATTAAGTTCCTAACCAGAGGTACCACTGTACATTTTTGCACGGAGAACCATATTCAAAATTCAGATGAGGACAACTTCTTCTAGTACTATTTTTCTTCTAGTACTTCCCCAAAGCAGGAGGTTACTCCTAGCAGCCAAGAAGGAGAGGGGCAAGATGGCAGGGAGGTCAGTGAGGTGCACTGCATTGTCTCCGCTGTCGCACCTGCACTGCACCTGCACTGTACTATCCTTCCTACCCTCTCCCTCTTGGTTATAGGCCTTGGCGCTGGGAAGCCAGGTAAGCAGCCCCACCAATCACTCTGACCAGATTGAATGTTGAAACCTCAAGCACAGAAAACTACACTCTGCCACTGAGCAATGGCTCTCCCCTGGTGAACATAACAGACCCAAGTATGCTTGCTATGTTATGCGAAACAAAGCAGGCCATTTAACTGAGTTTAAGTAGCATCATAGGGAGGCAGGTGGCGCTGTGGATTAAACCACAGAGCCTAGGACTTGCCGATCAGAAGGTCGGCTGTTCGAATCCCCACGACGGGGTGAGCTCCCGTTCCTCGGTCCCTGCTCCTGCCAACCTAGCAGTTCGAAAGCACGTCAAAGTGCAAGTAGATAAATAGGTACCGCTCTGGCGGGAAGGTAAACGGCATTTCCGTGCGCTGCTCTGGTTCGCCAGAAGCGGCTTAGTCATGCTGGCCACATGACCTGGAAGCTGAGTCGGTCAATAAAGCGAGATGAGCGCCGCAACCCCAGAGTCGGCCATGACTGGACCTAATGATCAGGGGTCCCTTTACCTTACCTAAGTAGCACCATGTAGAGGAAGACACAGAATGGAAACGTGCACCTGCTGAAAACTTCTTCCATTTCTCCATGCAGGGTGACTCTGGGGGCCCACTCACCTGCGGGGGGCAACTCGAAGGTGTGGTTTCTTGGGGAACACAAGTGTGCGCACAGAGAGGGAACCCGGGTGTGTATGCAAAAGTGTGCTGTGTCGTGCCATGGATCCGGGAGACAATCAATCAGAATTCATGATGAACCTCAACGGAAGAAAAAGCTTCAGCCAAAAGACCCTGAAATCAGGGGAGGGAAAAGTTTCAGGAAAAAGGCCCTGGCGATCAATTGTCCCCCTTGCACATCAGTTTTTTCCTTCCTTTGCTGGTGAAGGATGTTCCACCTTTGGCAAAGTTTGGCCAAGCTCCACCCAAGGCTGGCTCTAAGCTATTTTTTCTGCTGAAAATGAACATTAGTTTGGTTGTACCACCCATTCCTCATTGTGTTGTATTAGGGGGACAGTATTTGTATGCGTTATAAGTTAATGGAGTGAATGAGAAAGGTTGTAAGAGGGGAAATTAAGACAGGGTTTAGGACACCCTGAAAGGTTGTAAGAGGGGAAATTAGGACAGGGTTTAGGTGACTGTGGAATGACCTTGTTTTAAGAAGGAGGAGATTTCCAAGAAAATGCAGTATAATAATACACTTTATTATGTTGATTTAAAGAAAAAACCCACCCTGGCTTTGCATTCATACTTTCCCTTTAATTCACAAATCCTTATGTGCATACAGTTGGATGCATGGCTGCAGCCCCAAGGAACAGTCCCATTTCCATTTCATAAGCTCTGAGAGAACATTAGCATCTTCCATTCAATAAGCTCTGCTGTTCATCAATATTATCCTGCCAACTATTGCCACACTTGGTGTTCACTCTAGCATTGCCACTGTATGTTTACTCAACTGTTATGGAACATCTATATATTTAAATATGTGTTTCAGAACAAATTCTTACAAAATGTGCTTTTTATTAATTTTTTTTGTTTGAGCCAAAAGCTGCATTGCAACATTTGGAGTAGCGCAACAACAAGGAGAATTGCATTCACATCCATACATTAGTCCAAAACAATGCAGACCTGGTCGTCACTCCCACTAGTGTGGATGGAACACAACAGGTTGTGCTCTTAACAAAATGCACTGTCCCTAAATCAGCTGGAGTTCTCCACAGAGCTTACAGTGCAGCAGCAATGACTGCATAAACTTGGCAGCACAGAAAATGTTTCAGGTTCAAAGCAAAGACTCCTTCTGAATTCTCTGTTGACACGACATTCCACAGGACAGTGCCAATGACACGAAAGTTTCTTGCTGCTGTCAGATAAGCCTCGCAAACTTGGGGAACCATCAGTGATGCCCCTGAAGGCGATCTCAGTGATCATGCTGCCCTATAAAGCAGTACCCTGGACCTAAGTTGTTCAGGGCCTTGTAAATTAATACCCTACCTTCCCAGGCCACACCCCCTCGCCAGCCTTGCTTCACATTCTTGAGTGTGTTTGCTTGGTTGGATTGTGTCCAAATTACTTTTGCTTGCCTGGATGGCGGACAGAGAAGGGTGTGTGAGCGGGCGTAGAAACTAGCCTCCTGCGCAAAGGTAAAATTTATGTTCATTTCTCCACCCTCTCTTGCCTCTGGTCCCACCCACTATTGGCATGCAGCCTCCAAAAGTGTCCCCATCCCTGTTTTAGATGGGCCATATTTAGGTTTGATGAGGCCCTAAGCTACTGAAGGTCCAGGTGTCCTTTGTCAACAACAAATTGTCACTTTTTTGTGTTGAATGTATGCTATATGGTAATTTATGGACCTAGATGCAACCAGTCCATGCAGAATGTAGGTACCCTATATATAGAAATGAGCAAACCAGGGATATTTTAGGGAGCAGGCTAGCAGGCGGAGCCCATTACTTACATCATAGGAGCCTACACAACACAAAACACTGTCCCTGACAGATGGAAATGTTCAAGTTAAAAATGTAAGAAGATCTTTCCCTGTTGGGAACTATGAAGAGCACGGTGCATTGGGTAAGACACCGAGGTGCAAATGAGGAATTCCATGGTTTCACTCTCACCTCCGCCATGAACTGATCTTAGGCCTCAGCCTCAGCCCCTCCATCTGCAATATGGGGACACAATGTGGACTTACCTTTGCAGGACTGTTGTAAGGATTAGAATTAGATCATGTATGTGATGTCTCTTCAACATCTGGAAGTGCTAGGAACATGCAGGAGATAGCTAGATCTTAGTTGCAATGCAGACTGAGAGGCCTTGCCCATGTGGATCACTTGATATGCTTTTGAAATGTTCTCCCCATCAATGATTATTTGCTCCTGACAGAGGCTCCTACGCCTTTAACAAGGGCATCATCTTGTTATGCTCATCCCACTTCTCTAACTGATGAGAAGCTCCTGGAATGCAGCCCTTGCCCATGCTCCAACCCGTTTGGATGGACGTCCCTGGAGGCTCGTCATAATGTTTTCACTTATTTACAAATATATGGGTTGACTATCATTGGAAGCACAGGTTGAACACTCCAGGAGACAGCCAAAGTCCATAGAGAGATAGTCACTGGCACCCTATGATGCTTGCAGAGCTCAAGCTCAGCTCTCTGTGTCTTCTTCTATCTCAAAGGGAAGCCTGTCCTTTTCATGAAGACATCTAGACCACATCAACCTTAGCTTGGGTTGGGGAAGAGGTACAAACCTTTCAGGTATTTCCTAGTCTTTCAAAAGTCCAGCTGTTGAGCACCATCAGCCAATCTGCCTAATGAAAGGCAAACTTCCTAACTTTGTTAAGGACTCTTGTTTTCCAGCTCCATTAACACTCCCCTTTCCAATTCTACACACACACAGAGTCTTTAAATAGATTACATCAGGTGGTGGAGCACCTGTTGTCAGACTCCCATCATCCCTAGGGATAGGCGAATGGGTCGATTTCAGTTTCTCATTCAGCACTCCACATTTTCACAAGTTTGCAATTAATAACAAAAACAAGCCCTCATGAAAATTCGGAAGCACTTTAGTACAAATTTCCCTTAATATACACATTGTTGCATACAATTTTTTCTAACATGCACATTTCTACAAAGCAATTTCCCCATATTGAATGCATTTTTGTATGCTATTTCCATTAATATGTGCATTTATATGCACACTTTACCTTAGTGCCTGCATTTTTTAACACGCTGCATGGCATTGCAAAATTCAGAAAAGTGTGAATTGCGAAGGTGGGCTATGCTTTGTGTGCTGTTTCGTAGAATTCAAATTCAGCCTCTAAATACAAACTGAACAGAATTTCTCACCCATCTCTAATCAACCCTAGTGATTGGGCACACTGGTGAGAGTTGGAGTCCAACACCTGGAGGGCCAAACACTCCACATCCCTGCCTTATACAGGTCTGGAGAATTTGGCTACCTTGTCATGGGGATGGACCAAATGTGAGTCCCGAGGTCTTTAGCTAGCCCTTGGGACTCTCCCTAGGCCATGCCTCTTCCCAGGCCACTCCCCTGAGGCATCCCTTCCTTGCCAAACTGATGAGTGTCCTTGAACTGTGAAGATGCCTCGCTCCACTTTTGCCTCTGGCCTTACCCACCACTGGCTTGTGCCCCCATTCCCAAAAGTTCCTTATGCCTTTAGGCATAAAAAGCCTCCCCTCCCCCTTATAGTTTCAGCAGAAACAGGGCATAAAACAGCAGACAACTGCTGTGACCATGCCCTGCTTGGAGATTTAGGGCTGTGTGAGTGGTATGCACATACAGTGGTACCTCGGGTTACATACGCTTCAGGTTACAGACTCCGCTAACCTAGAAACAGTACCTCAGGTTAAGAACTTTGCTTCAGAATGAGAACAAAAATCGTGCTGCAGAGGTGCAGCGGCAGCAGGAGGCCCATTAGCTAAAGTGGTGCTTCAGGTTAAGAACAGTTTCAGGTTAAGAACGGACCTCTGGAATGAATTAAGTACTTAACCTGAGGTACCACTGTACTAGATGTTGAGCTGGGGGGAGCAGCTTCTCAAAACCCAGGAAGCAAGGTGCCAGGTTTTGGGGAAGAGGCGTGAACCTCTGACAGAGTCCTAGAGTCCACCTCCCTCTTTCCCAAAGCTTGGTTATCACTTACCCAGCTTTGGGAAGGATGTGGAAGGGCTCTAGGATCCTGCCAGAGCCTTACGCCTCCTTCCCAAAGCCCAGCGCCTCACTTAGCCTGATTTGGGAAGGCAGCAAGGAGGCCGGAAGGTGTCAAATGTTGGCCTCGCACAGGGCGCCATATTACCCAAGTCCACCACTGTTGCAAGCTTCCAAGGCGTTTGAAGACAAAGAGCACTGGACCACACAGCCTTTTTTGCTGTGATCTGGTTAGGCAACTCATAAGTTCAATTCACTCTTAATGACTCCATGTCATTGCCCAACTTCTGTATTTATATACACCTTTAACTCTTCTGAACTAGCATGAGAGGAAACAGTTTCTGTACCTCCACCAGGGTAGGGGTTGCCACCAGGGGGCAGGAATGCACTCTCTCGACAAACAAGCAATGCACACAGACAGGGGTGCTGCTATCTAGGCTGCGCTGCAGCCTTTGCCAACCTGGTGCCCTCTAGATATTTTGGACCACAACTCAGAAGTTAAGGCGCACATGCACTCACACACAGGCCCCAGCCAGGAAGGAGGCACAAAAACTAGAAAGAATGCAACAAGGGGTTTTCAAAAGTGACAACCAATAAGATTTATTACTCCTCGGTGTGCTTTGGAACACAGGTTCCTTCTTTGGGAGTAATCCTAAACGTTTGCAGTTCTGCAAAAGAGCTGAAGTGGCTTGCGCAACTAGACACAGTGCTGGAAATGCAGCAAGCTGAGCAGGTGTGAGGATGGGGAGCAGATTGACAGGGCAGATGGATGCACAGCTGCAGCAGGATCAGGATGGCCACAGGGAACCCCCTATGGATGGAAGGGCGATAGCTCAGTGGTAGAGCATCTGCCTTGCAAGCAGGAGGTCCCAGGTTCAATCCCCAGCATCTCCAGGTAGACCCCTTGTCTGAAAATCCCATAGAGCTACTGCTAGTCAGTGTACTGAGCTAGACAGACCAAAAGTCTGACTTGATATAAGACAGCTTCCTATTTTCCTACAACAGTGGCAAGGAGGGAGGCACCTTGTTCAAGAGCCCCTCAGAACCTGGATCTGCATTAAAACACATGATTGTGTCACTATCAGGCCTAGTTTGAATCATCTCAAGAACAACCTGTCTGGACCCACCTCTTTTCCAACAGCGCTTACGATGCCAGGTGTTTCCCTCCAATGTGCCACCTAACAATAACAAACTCCATCTACTTAAGCTGAGGGTGAGGCTATGTGCCTTGGAAAGGTCAGGCTAGGCCATGTGCATGGAAACAATCCTCTGGTGACTCCTTGGGTGTGGCTTTCAACTCCCAAGGTGTGAATTCTGAATGGTTAGCAGCTCGTCCATTCTTGCTGTTGACATCCTCTCGGTGGCTTTCCATAGAGCAACCCACAGCAGACCTTGTGAAGCAGAGATAGGCCTTCCTGGTGCTATTGCACTTCAACTCCCATTGTCCCCTGCCAGCGTGACCAATGTTCAGGGATGATGGGAGCTGGAGTCCAGCAACATCTTGAAGGGCCACAGGTTCCCTGTCCCTGGTGCGAAGAGTCACTGCTAAGCAGTGGAGGCTGGTTCTTTAGGGC